AAATAGAAGTTGGGCGGAAATCTACTGATGCATCATCACTGCTGGTAAAGGAAGAATGACATTTGATGCAGAAAAATATGTTTGCAAGTTGTATATGCAGTTAAGTTAAAATACAATCACAGAGAAATTCTTGTAGTAAACAGTCCCTGTCACATCTTCACACTTTTTCATATTCCGAGCCGTTTTCATCATAAAAATGAGTGCGTTAGAGAAGCTGGAGTCTTACCTAGTTATTGATGATTCTCGAGAAATAATTGTTAACGTTTTCTACGCTGTCATTGCAAACAACCCACCATATTTATCCAGTCTGTTGTTTGTGCATTTTCGGGATTCGTTGTATCTGTAAATACTGTTTGCTACGTCTGGGGAACAAATGTTTCATGTTATCATAAAAGGTCTATGTGTTAACAATCTTTCACGGTCTGAAGTGTCCAGGAATATGATCAACTGTGCAATTTATACTTCGTAGTGGTTTGAGCCTACCTGTAATATTTTGTCTTCTTACGTACGCTTAAAACTGTGGTTTATAGGACGTTCGCTCATCTAGAACTGCTAGGTTATTCTTATTCGTGTTACGTTGTTTTTTGGAACCCATCAAGCTTTAATCGAAGACGACAAGGCTCATGAACCTCTATTTCTCTACTTCAATAGAGCAATCGGTATCCGAGGTAAATTTATCAAGCAACAATCGAGCCAACGTGTATAGTGGAAAACAGAGAAAGTTTATTCGATGTTCCTTGCAATGATTTTGTGAATTTACTGAAGTAACAGACTTCTTATTTATAAAAACTCTAGTTTTTCATTCAACCTAATAAATGCTCTACTAACAAACGACAATCGAAATACGGAACGGATGCCTCATATCAAGCCGTTCAGGGTTAATCTAACGAAACGGCGAGAGTCTTTGAGTGAAACCGACATTTTTACCGACCTGAATATAGCCTAGGGCACATTTAAGTAGTGGAATATTCGAACATATGTCCTCATAGATTCCGAACGCAGTATCTCATACTGATTGCTTAGTCCTTTTATGGATTTTTTCAAAGTGATAATAGTGGTAACAGAATGTCGATGAACAGCCATCATCATAAAGCTGAACATCTGTAGTGGCATTAGAACATAACCACACAATCCTCAAAGCAGAACACGAGACTACTCGGAAAATAGATATTCAATATTTAACGCGGAGAAATACTAACGATGGAAAAGGCGGGAAGAATGGTTGAACGGACTAGAGTTGATTGGATGGCGTGCAGGCGTGATCCATCTGAATGTTGCCTTATATCTTTTATTCATATTAAATATATTGTTCCTTCTCTAGCCTAAGCTTGTTCTCCATCATGTATTGGTAATTGTTACGATACAGTGAGTTGGTGTAGTCGATGGTGTGACTTCCACGTAAGATCTTATAGGTTAGGCAGTTATATCATGACAAATCTACAAGTTTAGGATTAGGTCAATTAATTGAACAGTACTAACACCATAGTAGACCATAATTCCACACATCCACTGACCTAGAAGATCAATTTGGGCCGGTCAATACTTGATGAAGAGGACTGAAGGTCAGTGCAAATCAACGCGGATTTTCCGATACTGTGTAACTCGTCCATAAGACCATGATCAGTCAATAATTTCACCTCTTTTGTACTGTGTGTATTATTTTCTTGTCAGCAGAAATGCACTTTCTAAGGATTAATACAAATAATAGTGCTGACCACCGCGATAGGAGGAGTCAATATAAGTAATTGCGTGACTTGAATATAAGCCAGGCAATCACATCATAGCTAATCAGTAGACTAACACTTAGGCTATTAGTCTAGCAGTATAAATAGGTCCGCTAACACCGATTGTGGACCTGCACAATAAACGACATTATCCTATATAATCAGCGGCAGAGAACGTCATGTTTCATCTGCAAAGAGTAGGACAGATGACTCCTACAATCTGAAAGTCACTTACATAAAGTAAAAAATGGAAAGAATCAAGGGTTGTTCCTAGGAGATCGCCACTTTCTACTGATTCTCAAGCTGATTGAGCCCCGTTTGGCCCTATTCGTTATCTTTTATCATTGAGAAAATTACTAATCCAGGTCATGATTCCATGATGAATTAAAAAAGTTTCAAGTTTTAACTTGGGACCCAAATGAAAGGTGTCGTCAACAGCTATACTTAGATCTATGAAAGGTACATACACTCAAACATCTATTTTTTTTCTCTGCAGCTCGATCTTCTCGTGCACTGAACAGATTTGCTAGGACCACAGAACACATCTGTCTTGAGATGCTGGAGTAATAGTAAGACGGCTTCATTCTCAATAGCCTCAGTTTCCATCGACAAGCCACTATAATAACAACCAATCGTTAGTCTTCTACTACTGTCAGTAGGAAACACTTTACTGGAACATTGCGATAAATATTTAGTAGTTGTAACATCATTTCTTGCCAATATCAATGGGTTTTCTTGTACCAATAAAGGGAGGATTCCATCACTTTGCTGGGTTCTATTCGTTATTTACGATTACAAACTTTTCGGACTTTCATGGCCCACAACCAATTGATTTTCATATGAACGTCCAGTGTTATCAACGCTTTGCAAACGTCCAGAGTCTCACAATAAATCGATCTGTACTGTTCAGAGCCTGTAAAGATAAACATACTCCGAAGTTTATTCCTACACCTGAAAAGTTTCTCGGCCTGTTTGGTTTTCTCTTGTGAACATCTATTTGGTCTACGTATTACTAAACACGGTATAAACGAGTACGCAATTAAGCTAAGAGTACGTTCAAATATGGACCAGGTTTCTTTATTTGTTGAGCTGGTATTGACTGCTAAGTCCGTTGTCGCAGTGCACCACTGGATAGCCGATATGTTTTGCTCTTTACACATTTGGGAGAGGTTTAACTCGGTTGTGTACTAAATCACAAACCGTAAACATGAATGGCTAAACAGCCTGATCGTTACTTGCTTACGGTGGGAGAATATCTGTATAGGCAATAACTTCAGTTGCATGAGTGACTAATCGTTCTAATGGAGACCTTTGAACCAAAACGTATGGGTTCGGATGCATGATGTACTAAAGTATGCCCTATTACCGTCATCAGAAGCCTGTTAGCGAAAGAGTTTTGAGATCCTACGGTGATCATCCCCGTCCAATTAATATCATTTGCATTCGAACATTCAAATATCAGGCATCTACTATTTTTACTCCATGGCTGTAAGTGCTGTTATATAAAGATAACAGCTAAGCAGACTGAACTACGATAAATGACATTCATCAAAATGTACAAACTTAAAAATTGGGTTCACATTACAGGACCTAACAAGTTCCATTATCATGAGACTCACAAGTAAAGGAACGCATTTTTATATCGTTAACTATGTTTGTGAGGACTGTAGCGCATTACTTACATCCACTCCCATAACTTTTAAGGTATTTGTAACGCGATAATATTGTGATGACGTCAAAGTCATGAACTAACTAAGTATCGGTCACGGCTGAGATGAGTAACTCCAATTAGTTTACCGATAATTCGAAGTTATAGAATATATTTCCAAGTCTATGAATCTTTTATATAGGACTCCTGGAGTTAATGACATATCCGTACAGGCCTTGGTAGCATAGGCTTTCAGGAAATGACCGCTGTAAATACCACTAAAAGGAGATGTTCCTCACCGTTTTGTCAACGCATTTCAGCCTCAGCTAATGCAGTTTTCTTTTTTAGTTTGTCTTCTGGAGACATAACGTCATACTAGGATGTCAGTGTTATCGTGACTTCGAGCACCAGTTGACAAAAGATTTAATTGTTCCTCGAAACTAAGGAGTCTATATGGTGGGGGTTCAACGTTTTCGTCGGTCCTCCTACCTTTTCCTATCAATTCTTTGATCTAAACTCCAGCGAAATATTCTGATAAGACGCTATCAACAGATGCCACAACTTTATCCAAAGTTACTATTTTGGATAGGAACTGTTTGATTGTAACGAAAAACTCAAATACTATTCTCTGAGATCAAAAGTTTTCCAAACACTTTAGGGTTATGTCTTTGTGAATTCGGCAGTGTACCCTGTGATTTAGAATAGGAGCCTATCAAAGACAAGTCACACAAACGGATGTTGTTTGTGGTTTCTTTTCTTTCTCTTCTTTGTTTCTGAACTGTTGCCCATTTCCCATTACTCAGGGCAACCACATTCGGGCTACTTGGAACAATGACGGTTTTACCTAGGTCTTCAGGTTTTACTTTAGAATCTGAACAATCAACATCAGGTGGTATTAGCTTTTTGTTTGTTTTAAGGGAGATTTCCATTTTTCATATTTCACAGTCGCATATTTGTTCCGTAATAGCTCGTACTACACTGACACATACTTCTCCCACCGTACTGATGTTACCAATGCATTCACCGTTTACTTTATTGTGGGAAATCCACGGAAAGCACATCGCTCCCTTGATTAGCGGTATCTCACCCGAACAACAAAATATATAAAGTCTTTGGGAGTTAGATTTCCAGCATCTTTCGAACGTGGTAAGAATTGAATCGCTTTTACATTAATAGCTTTTCGTCCTCTAAAAGGTGGAAACGATTCAGGTATCCACACTTATAGGTACGACTGGTCACTGTACATAGATATAAATTGGAGAAAAGTCAAACCGTACTCGCGTTATTCATCAGTGTGTGAAGCAAATGAATAAAAGAGTACCATAAAACGAAGTTGACGTAAATTTCAGACATTAATCTCAATAATTTTGGTTAAGTAGACCAAATACGGCTTGAATGGAATAGATACACACAAGCAAAGTTGATTCACGATAAGTGCGTACCTTTTTCTTCGAGGTTATAATTATAATACCTAAACAAATGTAAAGCACATTGCTTAATGGTTTCAAGAAGAAAATAGAACCAGACAGTAAATTATACTCACATGACTAAAAAAGATGAACTTGTTAAGTTACTTTTTTTGTCAGAAATGTTTTAGTTCATTGGGCCGTAAGTCCCAAAGTTCATTTATAACATCCGACCTTGAGGTCACAAATGTGCGTTAAACCAGGAAACAGAAGATTTGTATTTCTGAATTAGCGGTATGTATGAACGTAAGACGATATGAAAGGGACGACATGTCATTTGGGATTATTGACTGACTAGTTTGTTGGATCAATACTTTGAATTAGTTAAAAGCTAAATGATCTGGGAAGATATATACCCGAGCTCCCAATTTAGGGGAAATGGCACAAAAACCCCAAAATTTCCCCAAAGTTGGGAACTTAGGATACACCTCATGGGGACATTTAGTTTAACAGCAATTCCAGCCAACTGATCGAGTTCCTCATTTCGGACGTATGTTATCCCTTGTTGTCCTGCAAATACGTTTTGTGGTAGCGTATGCTTTCTGAATGTGCCACAATCTCACTTTCTGTGGTATACGGTTACGATAGCCATGCCTATAAATCTTTAAATTTATTGCCTAACTAAGCAACCAATAATGAATCTTACCGTGTACTAGAGATCGTAAATATTAGAAAATAGAGGTACAGACCCTTGAACTATTATTTAGCAGGACATCTTGCGTAAGCATATCGCGAACAGTTGCTTGGTATTTTTGCGACTACAGGCATACCACGACCTTATGCTCTTAAGTTCCTCTAAATACTTAGATTACGTACAAGTACCTCGCAGTAGTTTCGTATGTGAATTATTAGTCACTTGCTAGTCAAATATATTCATTTCTTACAAGGAGATTGGTAGCTTGGCCATCACGATCACTTGATTCCTGATAGTTAAGTTTCGAATCACTGCGACAGTTACAGTCACTTCAGCAAAAATGCTAATACTACCACGGATCCATTATCGGGAAGTATAATAAGTAAAGGGATTTATATTTATTTATTTTAAAACATAGATATTGGTACAAAAAGGCACCAAACACATATGCGCCACACTAATCTCATTTGATATGTGTGAGGGCTGTGGTACTGCCCGGGTGCCCAAACCGAAGCAGGTGGTTTTCTTAGGGGGCCACAGGGCCACACCCGGAGCCTTCGACATGAAAGTCTGATCAATAGATATGACTTAGTCTTAGTCTCTTAAAGGAAGCTTCGTTTAAGCCTTCAGGGTTTGTCTGAAAAAAAGGTCAAGCAAAAATTAGATTATAGACAAATATTAAGGAATTGTAGTTATACCTATAGTGTACACGAGTGTTTGAGTTGTGTACAAAAGTACAAAGTACTCAAGAGTTCATTTTGTCAACTTCAGTTCTCAAGCAGCTGTTTCCCAGGGTTATTTTCCGTGTACATGAGCGACATTAGAAATATTGGATGGAACTCATACTTAATAGACTTCTCTGTAGCATATTAACGGGTTTATTATTTTACCAGGTGGGTATTAAAGTCAGTCAAGCTGACTAGAATTTATGGAAATAAGGAATCGGTTCAAAAGGACATTATGTTGTCGTAATATAATCTGACCAAAATTTTATTACCTAGTATAGCGGATGTAAGGAAATGGTACAAAAATTTAAGTATTTTAGTCACTCGAATGTACGCAGAGTTAAGGGCTATTAACAGATCCACCACACTAAATTTTACATTTGATGAGAATGGGAGTAAAGTCAACGGATTTTGATAGTGATAAATCTCGAGGAGTTGAAGCCTTACTGTCTGCCATCAAACGATCATCGTCTTTGTTTTCAACAAAAACTGATTTTAAACTATCATCGGAGATGACCCCTTACCGTTTTTGTCAACATTATAACTATTTAGCAGCATCAGTCACCGAAATTGGTTTCAGTTTACAGAAGTGGTCTGCGAGAATAATCAAGCTTCGAAGTTTACTGTTATCTACAATGACTATGCCTTCTAGTTGTTCAATATTTGATTCTTCAAGGGGTTTTGGAGTTGATCCTTTGATTATGTACACAACTAATTTTTGTTTTACTTATTCAATCTGTTTCCTCTAGCTACAACTCTCAGTGCTATGCTTGAGGACAGATATTTCTAAATTTCGTTACAATGGATTTTTTTATTGGTCGTACATTATCCAAAACACGGATATTATCTGCGTGTTGTTTAATCATCATTTCGATTTCGACAATATACAGTAATATATTAGACAAATGCAGCATTTCTCAAAGTCGTTTAGCACGTTCCATCTTAAATGAGGTAAGTCATTGAGTTTTGAAATATTCATTTAATTACAGAAAAGATTGTTTTCCCACTATTTAAATATACAGGTGTTGCTATGAACGAACTATGCCCTTTTCATCCTAAACATGATATTTATGCTATTCATGAACAAATGAAAAATAAAATTTCTGATTATGATTGGGAATGTCAAATGTGTGGTAAACGATTCTACACAGAAAATACATTTGATTTACATATTGGCAATAGACATGAAACAAATGCTTATAGTACCAGTCGTACAATTTGTTTATCGTCCTATTGTTCGTTACTTCGTTGTTCTGTACTAAAACCAGTTATTGATTATGGTTATCAAGTGTTTTGGGATGAAGCATTATGTGATCCAAAGTCGTTTGAAGCTATTTCAAAGCAATGTGAGGTAGGTATTTTTTTACACAAGTATCTAATTAGGAACTCATGTACACTATACTTTGAGCGGGACTTGCTTAGATGCTAATACTACCACTACCCATCTGTTTAGGCCGAGATAGAGTGGTTTCCGTCAAACCTTTTGTCGAGTGGTGTAGATTTGAAAGCTTACACAGTTAAACCACTTTCCCTCCACTTGTGTATTACATTTAATCGAGTAGTAGTATTTAAGGCGGAACACGGTAACGTTTTAAGAAACTGATGCATATTGATTAGTCACCGACTGAAATTGAGATATTTACAAGCAGTTGGCCTTCACTAATTATGTGGTGTTGGTGTTTCTACAAAGTCAGTTACTCTACCTGGCAACAAACAGTACCTCATTACTAGGTTTTACCTTCCAAAAAACGAAATACCGCTTCTGATGAATATAAAATATGTCACTGTACATATTTCATTCATTCCAATTTACGATTATTTGTGGCGTATGGGAGATGTCTGTCTTTCAACTGAAGAACCAGTTTACTGCAGAACAGTTGGTTCTGTTATACTCAAATGTAACCTTTAAATTAAGGATATGTATGGCTTACTCTTACTTAGTCATAAAATTATCTAAGCATTACCAGCGTACGTTGGCGCCACCGTGTAAGCAATGTTGAATTTGGACACAGAATACTTGATAAAGATGCCAAATCGGTTGATGACGTAATGAATTCGTTTCAATCTAACCCCTTTTGATGTGTATTACGTATCCCCAACCACCGTTTGCGCGACCGTCCCAATCAATGGTTGAAGACGTTAACTGACTAGTTCAGAATCAGCCACAACGGTACGGAGACATTCACTCTTTGTCTTCCTTTGAATCTTGAGCTTTAGAATTATCTTATACTTTTTATTCCGCGAATTCGTTCTTCTGGAATTATATTGTCTATACCTAAACTTTCCTTTCTACCTCTAATATTATCACTGTTCCTATCTCGCCTTGCTGATACAATGTGACAAACTGAGTCAATGCACGTAATTGTTAGGTTTTACTTTTTTTGATAACACCATTACATTTAAACATGTTAACCTTGGAAAATTGGTTAGAGCATGGTGATCTTGATTTATTGGATTGGTATGTAACTAAGTGACTGATTCGGGTTTATTGATATTCAAAAGTGAAATATGCTATTGGTTTATCTCAGGAAATTTCCCATACGCACGAACAAATGCAGGTCAATACAACCAATGTAGCAACAGCCACTTCATCAGTAAGCCTCAACATACACAAGGGAAAAAGCCAGATCCCCAAATACAACACGGAGAACACCAGTCAGTCAGTAACATCGTAGAACTTCATACGTACGTACACCAGTTCGAATTGCCATACCACATTAGCACAGAGATACAACTATCGATTCAAATCCCGCAGTGGTAGAGGTAGTGATAGTATAAGCAGTAATCTAAAACATTAGGGTTTAAAGATGTTATTCAAGGAGTATAATCCAGTGAAATAAATTTGAAAGAAAAAAACGAGACATGAAGAATTCAGAAGATTAGAATTTGGGAGAAAACGGAGAACACCAACCCAATCATACTTGATGCAGAAGCTTTAGAAGATGTAGAATCTTTCAAGTACCTGGGAAGCATTATCGATGAACAAGGATGATCGGATCGAAACGTAAACACAAGAATTGGCAATCAAGGCTACCGTTCCCACAGTCGAAGAACATATGGAACTCAAAACAACCGTCAACTAATATCAAAGGGAGAATCTTCAGTACGAACATCAAGATAGTTTTACTGTACGGAGTTGAAACTTAGAGAACTACCGCAACCATCATCAAAAAGGTACAAGTATTTCTAAACAATTGTCTACGCAAGACACTCAATGTCCGTTGACCCGAAACCATCAAAAACACCCTACTATGGGAGAGGACAAACCAGTTTCCAGCTGAAGAGGAAAATAGGAAAAGACGTTGAAAGTGGATAGGACATACATTGAGGAAATCACCAAACTGCATCATGAGGTGAACGCTAACTTGGAATCCCGAAGGAAGAGGGAAAAGAGGAATGCCGAAGAACACATTACGGCGGGACTTGGAAGCAGACATGAAAATAATGGATCGTAACTGGAAAGGACTGCCCAGGACAGAGTTGGATAGAGAGTGCTGGTGTGCAGCCTGTGCTCCTCCATGAGGGGCGTAGGCGAGATATCCGTCTACCAACCAAAGGACAGGTTTACTGCGCAACAGTTCGTTCCGCCCTACTTTATGGCATCGAAACATGGCCGGTAAGAGTAGAGGATATTCGTAGGTTACTAGTATTCGATCATAGGTGTATTTGAACCATTGCTCGTATATCCTGGGACCACCGAGTAAGTAATACAGTTGCTTGGAAACGGGTACTAGGTGAGGATGGAAAATAAATTGATGAATTAGTAAAGCTTCACCAGTTGAGATGGCTGGGACACGTGTTACGTATGCCCAACCACCAACTGCCCCGACGTGCCATGTTTTATGGTGTAGGAGTAGGTTGGAAGAAAGCTAGGTGCGGTCAGAACAAAACATGGCACCAGTCCATGAAGTCACTGGCAAGTGGACTGATTCATGTTGGTAGGTGTAGACTACCTGGTTGGTAACCGCGAGCTGATATCAACCGATGGTTAGAGACCCTGAATGACATGGTTCAAAATCGTTTGCAATGGCACAGGTTCATCCACTCTTTGTGTTCTCCCAAATCCTAATCTGAAATCTTCATGTTCCTTATTTTTCTCTTTGCAAATTTATTTTACTGGATCATACTCCTTGGATAACATCTTCAAACCCTCATCCTTCCGATTACTGCTTATACATTTACTACCCCTTCTACTACGGGATTTGAATCGACAGTTGTTTCTCTGTGCTAATGTGGTTATGGCAACTTGAGCTTATGTGCGTACGTACACAGTTCTACGTTGTTACTGACTGATGAGGAGTAAAAGGCGTAAGTAAGTAACATACATGATTTGGAGTAAGAGAGCTTCATAAAGTTATTTAATCAGATACGGGTTATATTACTAAAGCAAAAAAAATAAGTTACAATAGCTTTCTATTGAAAACGTACATTGAATCGCAGACACTTTATTCGCGGGAAGCATTATACCTAAATATATGGATAATCGGTGTTACAGCACTGTTAAGATGACTCAGATATGATAATTTATATTATGACTGTTAAAATATATCATTTTTGAGGTGAAAGAACACAAAACTTGTCTGGTCAATACACACTTCTTCATAGTAGCAAGTAAACTAGTAAATATAAGTCATGATGGGTAAAGGCAATGTATTATCTCCTAAAATTCATCCGAAAATGTGTGTTATGAAACGTGTAATTATTAAGCTTATGATATGAAATATTGGATGGATATTGAAAAAATGTCTTAGTGGGTTTCAGCAGAAATTGTCTCAGAATTCCAAATTTTTATGGGGAATGCTTTTATTAACAACAGTGAACCTTTTGTGTTGAGTTTCCTATTTTTATCGTCGATAAATTCGAGTTTTCTTTAGATGTAATTGTAGTAAACAGAACTCCAATGGGGAACAATTGAATGTATTTTACACAAAATTACAGAACTTGTTAATAAAATCTAGCAATCAAATAGTCAATACGTAATTTGCAAAACGTCCATCGATTGTCTCAAAATGACTCAGACTTCATTGTTCTTGCATTTCATACAAATTGCATTCTGTTTCCATTTTTCACTGTTCGATCCTCTTGTCTCTCTGCTGTCAGACATTCTGTTCACGACTAACGTCATATACTAATTATGTCGATATAAGCAGCATACACCACAGAATCACTAAACAGTCTTGTTATCAATATTTTCTGTTCTTTTATTCATATTTTCTATTTTTTTATAAACTAGGATATCTTGAATAAATGTACACCATCTGGAAATGACAGTAGCAGTACACAAATACGTCGTAAGTTATAAATTCAATTTTCTTTTCTTTAAACAAACACTATTATTTCTATCCATCTAGTTTTGTAAATTTATTGATGTTAAAAGTAAATCACACAATGCTATCGATATTGTTGGGTGATCCAAGTTAGATCATAGATTGAGTACTATTAGGTAAGTTTGTGAATTTAGTGAGAAGTCATGATCACTGGGTTTTTAAAGTGTTCCCATATTAAGATGAAATAACTGTCAAGTGTTTCATGTTTTTCAAAGGATGTTGAACTTTCAGTAGACTTACTTAAGCCTGTTACTCCTCGTGAAGGAGCATAGGCCGCTCACCAGCACTATCCATCCAACGCTGTCCTGGGCAATTCTTTTCTAACTCTTTCCAGTTGTTATTCACCCTTTTCATATCTGATTCTATTTCCCGACGTGATGTGTTCTTTTGCCTTCCACTTTCCCGCTTCTCTTCAGGATTCCAAGTTAGCGCTTGTCTAGTGATGCAGTTTGGTGATTTCCTCAATGTAGATCCTATCCATTTCCATCGTCTTTTCCTATTTTCTTCTTCAACTGGAAACTGGTTTGTTGTCTCCCACAGAAGGCTGTTGCTAATGGTATCCTGCCAATGGATGTTGAGTATCTTGCGTAAACAACTATTTATAAATACTTGTATCTTCTTGATGATGGTTGTAGTAGTTCTCCGCAAAATGAAAGAGATTTACATTTTCAGATAGATGCTTTTAATAATGTTGTATTCTATGATTTCAATGGTTCAATTTGAAACTCTTATTATTGTTCCGGACAACATCAGTGCCTACATCATGTAGAATCAAATCTTTCAGTTATTCCAAAAGTGTTATATCAGTTTGTTACAAGGGCTTTTTTGTGATTGTCTGTCTTCATAAGTTTCACCACCTTCTGACTAGCAGTTGATCTCTTTTATATTGATTGATAGATTAAATCTATGATTTGAATGCCATATCTCGAGAGATTCCATGGCATTGTTACAGTTTCCCTCATCCACAACTCCAACATTTCTCCAATCGGATTTCTGTTTTTTTATACATTTTTTCATATCAATGATCGCGTATCATATCATCATATTGTTAATCCATGTTCATGTATGTGCATAGGAGAAGACGGAGAGGTCCATTTTTACTCAATAAGATTATTTTGTGGGTTTGGTATAACTCGGCAAATAAAACATTTAGGAATAAAAGAAAAAAATATCACCAGATTACTAAATTTTATCTGAAGTATATTGATACAAAATGCAATTCATTATTAGATCGCCAAAGCACATTAGCTTCTTGATATCACCAGTTTTTCTCTTGAATTGTATATAGCGAGGAATTTTCGTGATAGCCTGATTATACTAGATCACTCTATAACTGTATAGGTTATACGCACGACTCACAAATTATCCCATTAATGGGTGATTGGTTTATTGTTTAACTGCATCATCCTTCATGACCCGTAACGACTGATCTGCCTAATAAGGCGGAAGTCCGCAAGGAACTCAAACTCTTGAAGTGCTACAAATCACTCATTTCCGACCCTTTTTTAAAGATGATAGTGACTTTCTTGTTAAGGAACTGTCTAAGTTGTTTACAAAGGTTTGGGAGCTAGAGAGCGTTCCAACATCATGCAATGAGTCGATAGTTGTCCCTATCTTTAAAAAGGGTTCACGTCTTTTCTGTAACAACTATCGGGGGATAAGCCTACCTCCAATTGCGTCCAAACTGTTGGCTTCCGTCATACTTCGTAGGTTGTTCAAAACCCGAGAAAGATTGACTCGCGAGGAGCAGGCTGGGTTTCGTTCTGGTCGAGGATGTATTGATCATATCTTCACCCTCCGCCAAATGTTAGAACACCGCCATACTTATCGCAGGCCAACAATCGTAGTGTTTCTTGACATCAGGGCTGCCTTCGATTCGTTGGACAGGACTGTTCTCTGGGATTGTCTATTGAAGAAGGGTGTGCCTGAAAAGTTTATTAACATCCTGAAAGCCCTATATACAAACACCTCAGGCAGAGTGAGGGCATACAACCACCTTTCTCCATTGTTCCATTCGAGCAGTGGGGTTAGGCAGGGTTGCCCAATCTCACCATTCCTCTTCAACTTTGCCATCGATGACATTCTGGAAACAGCTCTGATGAATGTAAGTAATGGTGGTGTGGATCTGTTGCCTGGAGAAAGACTTCTCGACCTTGAGTATGCGGACGATATTGTCTTACTGTGCGATAATGCCCAAGGCATGCAATCCGCACTTAATCAGTTGACAATCAGTGTCCGTAGGTATGGTATGTGCTTTGCACCTTCGAAGTGCAAAGTACTTCTACAAGACTGGCAGGATTCCAATCCTGTACTCACCCTGGATGGTGAGCAGATAGACGTAGTCGAGAAGTTCGTGTATCTGGGTAGCTGCATAAGTGCTGGTGGGGGTGTGAGTGATGAGATCAATGCACGTATAGTGAAAGCCAGAGCGGCTTATGCCAATCTGGGCCACCTTTGGCGCCTTCGTGATGTTAGTCTGGCTGTAAAAGGTCGGATCTACAACGCGTCGGTGAGAGCAGTTTTGCTCTATGCTTGTGAAACCTGGCCTCTCCGAGTTGAGGATGTTAGAAGACTCTCTGTGTTTGGTCATCGCTGTCTCCGAAGGATTGCCGACATTCAGTGGCAACACCATGTTAGTAATGCAGAGTTTGGGTACAGCAACAATAATGCTCTTAGTGTTACTATCTTGAAACATCGTCTTCAGTGGTTGGATATTTCTTACGAATGTCATTCTAGAAAATTCCACGTCGTGTATTATTTGCCGACTCTGGGACTGGTTGGAAAAAGCGGAGAGGTGGACGTAAATTTAACTGGGAAAATCCTTTCTGGTTGTATTTTTGCTAACTGCACTACCTCTCCCATTATTATTATTTCACTATCATGAACTAATTTCTGTTCGTTATTGTACTCCTTTTTCTCATGCTGATATTGGTACATAAACTTGCTATGTGCGAACCGCTAACCAGATACTGAGTGAGGAAACTGGTAGTGGAAGTGTTGGGGAGACACGGAAAATTTCTCGAAAAAATCCCCAAAGCGGCCCTGAAAACGCTTGGAAACATCCTATCCAATCAGCATTCAATAGACGTTTGCAAGAAACATCTAGAAAGTGAAAAGTCACGTGTCGCATTCCCCACTACTATGTTTAGAAGGGTTCTGGAACTTCCCAGAAGCCCAAGGTCATCTGAAATGTTATAAATACCCTGGATTTCCTGTACATAAAATAACCTCTGAGTAAATCGCTCTTAACATATTTCACACCTTTTCTCGCGTGTTCAAGTTGCCGTTGTAGATTTAGTTTAGAGGTTGCTAGAAGAGCTTAGCGAATCGATTCAAGCGTTCAACTAGAAGATTTATCAGAACGAAAACGTTTATTGGGCTAAATCAAATCACATGCATAATATATATATGTATATACCCCTTAGAAAATGAAACTGCTTCTCAGTCAATTACACACGCATTTAAATTTTTGGTTGGCACAACATGACTTCATTTAGTGAGTTCTAATTGACCCACTGTATCAATCATCTTTGTCAGTAACTTTTACTATCACTGACACTCTTAATATTATCTTACTGTTATGATATATTATGACAACTTAGATCAATTCACATATTGTGTTATTTCATTTGATGAATACTTTTCTCATTATTTTTTATCATCATACCTCTAATATCCGTATATCATGGAAAATGATTATAATTGCATGGTTATCTAATAACAATAATAATGAACGATTGTAGAACTACTTCAAACTACATTATGTGATCAGTTATCTTGTGATCGATATTGGATTTTACCAGATTCACATGTAAGTTTTAATTGTGATAGATGTTAATTGGTTGTTAATTCAATTTAAAATGGTTTAGATGATCCTATTGTTGATATTTTTGACTGATATTTTGTTATTCTTAGTTGGGATATGGGTGTCTTGTGCGGATTTCCGCGATACAGCCATTATGACGTAATTTGATAAAAGATAGATGAAGTGTGGCTAGACGCACGTTTTGTCCTGTTTGGAATCATTTTTAGATGAATGTACATGCATTCTAGGGTTGATGTCTATATAGTACCTTTCGTTTCAAACGCCAGTGCATTTGAATCCCGGAATGGACATCAACTATGGGATCCAGGTACATTCAATTAAGATCAAGTCTCAAATAGGATGAAATGCTCGTCCTGAATTCCGCTATAAGCTATATCCATCTGTTCTATATCTAATTAGTTATTGTTGATATTTTGTTTCTTTATAGACAATTAATTTCGACTTTTACTATTAATGGTTCCTTATATATATATTACCCCTTGTGGAGGAGCAAAGTATGCTCCCTAGCATTCTCCATCGACCTCTGTCCTGGGGAATCCTTTCCTGTTATCCGTAATGTATGTCATATCCACCTCCAGCGTTTTTAATTTCCTCTTTAGTTGGTAGTTGGTTTGTTCTCTTCTATAGTAGGTTAAGCTGGTGATATCTGGCCAACGGATATTATTTATTTATTTAAAGACATAAACATTGGTACCATAGTGTTGTTTACTAGTTAAGGCCATATAACTTATTCTAGCTTCTGGACAGGCCAATTTATCCATTCTTCTTCTGTCATGTTTTGACCTTGTTAATTATTCACTTATCAACCGTGACTGTTTTATGTGAGCGCATATGTGTGTACACTTCTTATTCTATTCATCATCATCTGACTATAAATATTGATTAACGCTTGGCTAAATGGAGTTGGTTCACATGCCTTCTCCACTGCGCGTCATTTCGTTTCGCTCTCCTCTATTCGCTTCGTCCCGCTAATTGTCTGCTCAGATCAATGATTGTACGAAATATACGTATTCGAAATTCTTTCTCGTATTTAACTTATTTTAATTCCGTTATTCACTAAAGCGAGTTAAGTCGATAATTATATACGAGAATAGGCGACATATATAATTCGATAGCAATCATTCAATAGCTATCAACATATGATCTAATTGGAGTCAGATCCCGGGCCAATAAAATACAAGGATGCACCAAATACATATGCGTCTGATTCACAAGGCAGTGGAGCAACGTAAAGAGATGCAGTCCTATGGTAACCGGTGGCTAACAATAGGTTTACGCGCCTTTTGTTCCCTCAGGATCCTGGAACCCATATACATCATTAGTTTGAATCAGGGTTTCCCCACTCCCCTAGGTGAACCCTTCGTGTCCACCAACCCGGTTAAAGCGCCGGACATTCTCATTCCGTCCTCTCAATTTCATAAACAACAGTAATGCCTCGAAAAGGCAGTAAGTAGGATTTCCGTGGCAGTGGCTGTATACGCGTGGCCATGTAGGAGCATTTCGAGAGGGAGAGCGGACTCCGCAGCCTCGTTCGTACCAGGCGATTCGGCGGTGGATATTAAGAATCTTGCGTAGACAATTGTTTATAAATAGTTTTATTTTTTGGTGATGGCTGTAATAGTTCTCTAAGTTTCAGCTGCGTACAGTAGAACTGTCTTGATGTTCGTATTAAATATTCTGACTTTGATAATGGTTGCCGGTTGTTTTGAGTTCCATATGTTCTTCAGTTGTAGGAATGCTGTCCTTGCTTTGCCAATCCTTGCCTTTTCATCTGCACAAGATCCTCTTGTTTATCGAATATGCTGCCCAGATATGTGAAACTTTTAATTGAGATAATGAAATGATCAACGTTAGACCGCCATTAGAAACCTGGAAGCACTGGACCGCCGCTTCGTCCTAGTAAGAGGGCCACTTAGCAGTGCGCATCCACGATATTGCCCGACCACATTGTCTTCCATGGCTAACTGCCTCACACCTCACATGGGTTACCTTCACTGGTCACAGATTCTCACTACAACTCCGAGATCCACCTTTCCAAGCTAGTCACTGGTCAGCCAGCACATCATAATAAATATCAGTATAGGGTTGTGGAGATTGATGACTAATTTCATCATTCAGATCATCAATCGATCAATATGATGCCTGGTAGTGATAGATCATATGCTAACTGTCGAAATACACTGCACAAACCTGAGTAGTGTGATGAAAGTGAGGGTGTTGTTGGCAGGGGAGGTCGAAACCCGGCACCTTCAGTCTGGTATAAGAATACCCAAACTCTAGACCGCTAAGACGTCATTCCACGCTGTTATTGTCGCACTTTAACGATCTACAATATTGCTCAACCTCCTTACATTATCTTCGTTGGCGAAATGCCTCACACCGACACGGTTAAACTCTACTGGTCGCGGCTTTTCTTTAGAACTCGGAGAATTATCTCTGGAGCTGGTCACTAGTGAGCATATGATAATTATCAGTATAGAGTTGTTCAGACTGTTGGCTTTTAATTGAGATCTTAATCGATCAGTGTTAGACCACCATTGAAAACCTGGAAGCACTGGATGTCCGTTTCGTCAGTTCATTAAATTGGGATTTTATACTAATTACTTAATAATGTACTTGTTCTGTACTCTTTTTTTCATACCAAAGATTCAAACTTCTGTATGGGAAAAAGTACTCACTGCACTTATCGTAACATCTGGTTTATTGACTTATTATTCTGTAATATTTATGAGATTAAGGTAAGTTCTCAAAGTGTGGTGAATAGTAATAAGTATGGATATTTCTTTACTACTTCACATTAAAATTGGTTAGTTTTTTATTAGTACATTGTGTATAGAATGCGTGTTTCATAGTTAAGTATCGATTTGATCATTTTGTTCAGGAATTTTGAGTTTATATCTCAGTCGACTCCAGTGGTTGGCAACCATGACCACGGCTAAATCTGAGTCCAAGATCTCCAGGTTTCGCGGCGTACGCTTCGTTCCTAGACTACTGATCAGCATCAATTGGTTTACATTTACGGAATAAAACAATTCAGTTACATTTAAGTACTTTGGAAGTTCCAGTCATCTCATATTCATAAATACGACCAAGGAGGTAAATTGAGTTCAGATGCTCCTTCACTCTGAAACCTAAGCGACTCCGCAACTGAACTTTTGAAAATCTGTCAATCTTGCTTAACAAACTATCGTTCCAGATGGAATTAAATTTCATAGCCTAAAGATTCTAAATAGGATAGCAGTTCTTTAAGACTATGTTCACAATATAACTCCGAGAATTAAAGTGAGCTCATATAGAGAACGGAAGTGGAAAGTGTGACTGAGGACAATAACTCTGCCTAAAGCAACAAGAATAAGGGCAGGAGCGAGAAACCAACAAATTTCTTATTAAACAGTCAACTAACTTATTTTGAAGGGGACTCCGAAACCTACGGAATAGTTAACTCATCAGCACTTTGCTTAGATAAACCAGGAAGCATTTATTCTACCCTACGTAAAATAACATTTGCGCCATGAATGTAGAATGTTCAGGCCGTTCAGAACATCAACAACAAGAGTTTAAAAAACTAAATGAAACGGAACAGTACATGGAACATAGATGAGGTAAATGAACTTCAATTTTCTCTAGGAGGTAGCATAACCCATTACATATGTTAGGTTTGGTGACTGCCCAAAATTTTGTAATCCTCGCGGTTTGTTTAATTGCGAAATTCAATTTTCTTCAAAAATATTAGCTGACGATGTGCAATATATAATGCCATGTAGTATCGATCTCTTAGCAATAAAATGTCAACAAAATCATCATGACACATGAAACATCCCAGTGACTCCCGCACTAGAGAGCGCGCAATCATGCTTAAATCATGGTTTACTGTCACCAACTAGCAATTCGATTCCCATACATATGGTAATCTCATCTCCTCTATGTGTACTGGAAAATATAACCTTCCGCAGTGTTCACATTTCGAATTCACTGCAAAACACTATCAAGCAGAAAATTTGGAACTGCCTTGGTAATTTCCAAAAATATGTTTAGACGCCAAGACCGTTGGTCTAAGTACACAATATCACTATTATTCATGCGTTTATTCAATAATAAATGTGTAGTACTACATAGAACTCTCATCCCAAAGTATTCCAACAAGTTTATTTCGCAGAAAAAGAAAACAGATAACCGCACTTATATATACACAAATTAAATAAATGAACTACCTGGATCTGAACGAAATGATTTTCCATAAGATATGAATGTGTACTGGTTTATGTCTAAAAAAATAAGTATTTGACCAACCCAGCCTCAACAACCTATTCGTCTTGTAGTATATTTGCTAGATAAGGCACTGCACAGCTTTTGTATTTTGGCTTCCGTGCATGGAATATAATGCATTGTCGTCGAGTTCTACCAGAAGATATGCGGGGAGAAACATTTGGAAAAAATGTAAAGCTAGCATCTGATAACACTTTTCAGGGGTTCGCAAGATGTCAAATGTCTATCCACAACCGTACTAATCGTAACCTCGTAAAATCTTTTATCGAAATCCCGAAAAAATAATGATGGAGGGCCGTGAATAATAATAAGCCAAATGTAAGAATCAAAAAGTCGCAGGTGTTAATCCCGAGCGATGCCAAAGGGATGCAGCCACTTAGTGCAGTAATATAGATGGAAAACTTTTCGTGGCATTGGTTTACAACCACACCATATTCGGAGCTGAACATATAATTACCGAGGAGATTCACTTTCAGCATGTAACTTCAAGTTAAAGTTAAAAAAGTTGAACGTGGGAATATTCACTTGAAATAGATCGGATGACATGGACCAGCCTCCCAGATGTGGTCAATTTGTTTAACTTGTCCCCACCGACATTAAATATACTATTCTTTAGCTCAAATGTAATCTTCAAAAGCGCTAGATGTTATAGTGCCTATTCTTACGAGACGATGAGTCAAGGTATACAATAGTAGGACTGCCGCATAAGATCTCATAGATAAGATAGTCACATCATGACAAACGTACAATTTTAGGATTGAATCTGTTGTTATAATGAGTTAGACCGTAATTCTACGAACTTTCCTCCAAAACCATAAAACATGAAAAGAAGAAACAATGAGACTGAGACAAATGACCATCGACTCTGTTTTTGTTAGAGAAACCTTACTAGCATTAACTTCAAGGGATTCAAAAAACGTGTCACAGCGTGCTTGGTAAATGCCTTAATTTTGTAATTTTCTTTTGGAAATTTAAATTTCCTTGTTTTCGCGCCAAAAGCGCCTGTTTACAACTTCATGTCGTATCTCCCAATCGGGAGAATCTTCAACTTTACTGGTCCGTTGTATACTTTTAGTATGCTATTTTTGCAACGCTTCTCAGTGCGAGTTTTATGCTATATATACGTTTGATTTGTGTCTGTTATTATTCACTCGTGCTTCTGGCTTACGGAATATACTTTCTCGCTCCAAACCTGGACTTCTTCCTCTAGTTAGCGGGGCTGGGACGCATCAAATAGCTAGCTTATTGGTCGACGGTCACAAGCCTTTGTTCCGTTCGTATACTAAGTGAACTTGTAATAACTTCAAACCTAGCAAATTTGGCGGTGGTGGTTTCGGAAACACGGATCCTTACAAACTTGAATTATTACTCGAGCAGCAATTGAAACTAATGCAAATGTTGGCAGATATCAAGATTTTGCCTCCCACACAGCCTAGCACATCTAATGCAACTACGGCACAATAAATAGATGACATCGCAAATAGCACTACTATGTTTCATTATGATCCTGACTCCAACTTTTATTTTTGACATGTGTTATGAAGTCCTATTGAAATTTGACTTCGCTTACCAATATAATGCTTGGAAGGTTCAGCTGCTACTTCGGTCCTAGTGAACTAGGCAGGTATTGCAACTTAATTCTGCCTCTAAACCCACGCGATCGCCCATTCTCGGACACTGTTCAGTCATTGAGACAACTCTTCAGTATTCAGTGCGCGCTATCGATGTTTGAGGCTCACTATGAACGGAGATGCTGATTTTCTTACACATGTGGGTATCTTCAACCGAGAATGCGAACGCTTCCGGTTGAAGTCGCTGACGGAAGACCAGTTTAAGGCCCTCATTATCATCTGCAGCCTTCAATCGCAGAAGTTCAGTGAAATTAGGACACTCTTGCTAAGTCGATTGAACCATGACCCAAAACTAACTCTTAATGATATTGAGAACGAATATCAATGTCTAATCAATCTACAGAGTGACCCTACGACGGTCCAGCGTGGTGGTTCAGATCATACTGAAGATCATGTGGTCCAACAACCACCTAACCCGCATAAACCTGCCCCAGCGACATCTAGTTCAGGTCAACAGACAAAAACGCATCCTCCTGCCCCACGTTGGCACTGAGGTGCATGGCATTTTATTCGAAGCTGTCCATATAAACAACATCGGTGCAGGAAATCTAATGCGATGGGTCATAAAGATGGTTTTTGTCGAAAAAATGAAGCCAAGCAGCTCCGGAGGTACCAGAAAGCCTACGCCTAGATCCAACACGAATTCGTTGAGTCTAATAGCAAGCTGTCAGAACTCAACCCTAGGAGAGAGGAAATGTATTACCCTTAATATATTAATGGGCGCCCGTTTAGATTGCGAATGGAGACTGCATCTGACGTAACGATTCTCTCACGAAAATATTGGGTAAAAATGGGAAGACCACGCACAGTGCCAACAACACAGAAACCTAGAAATGCATGGGGTAATTATCTACGTTTGTTGGGACAACTGGATTGTAAAGTTCCTTTTTATGACCCGGCCTTTGCCGGGTATGTTACATCACACCAGCTGATCTTAATGTGCTTGGTTTAGACTGGTTTGACCGGCTATATTCAGCTGACGTTCCGTTAAGCACCGTATGACATCTGGTGAAACAACCTCATGAACCTGAAGCATATTCGAAAGAACTAATGACGGAGTTTTCAACATTTTCCAGCCTGTGTTGAGTCAGCGCAGTACTATGAAAGCAACACTTCGGTTGAAACCTGGAGCTAAACCTGTCTTCTGTCCAAAGAGACCAGTGCTGTAGGCAGCATTATTGAAAGTTGACGAAGAACTAAACCCCATTCAACTATAGGGAATTACTACACCTGTTTTTCATTCTGCCTGGGCAGCATCCATTGTGGTTATAAAAAAGGTTAATGACACAATCCGAATATGCGCAGATTTTTCTGCAGGTCTAAACGCAGCTCTCGAACAGCATCATCAACCACTGCCAGTCCCTGAAGATTTGCTCACGATGTTAAATGGTGAGAAGATCTTTGCAAAGCTGGATCTCGCTGTTGTCTGTCTACAAGTGGAAGTGGCTGAGGACTCGAGAGAGTTACCATCAAAACTCATCGTGGCTTGTTTCAGTACAATCGCCTACCATTTGGTGTTAAGACAGCTCCACCCATTTTTCAGCAACTAATGGATACCATTCTATCGGGTATCCTGAGGGTCACAACTTATCTTAATGACATCTTAATTGTTGGCACATCGTTAGAACAGCTTCGAGAACGCACGACAGCTGTACTGCAACGCGTCAGCGATAACGGACTCCGATTACGCCCAGAAAAATGCCAAGTTTTCTTGAAGTCAGTAAGATTCTTGCCATTCATCTTTGATGCCGCAGGTCACAGACCAGATTCTGAAAACATCCGCGCTATAAAACTGGTGCTGACTCCTACTAATATCTCTGAGCTACGATCATTCTCGGGATTAATTAGTTACTACTCAGCCATTGTTCCGTCGGTGCATGATATATGCGTCCCGCCAAATTATCTTCTGAATAAGAATACTAGATGAAACTGGACAAAAGAATGTGAAGCTGCATTTCGCAAGCTGAAACAATCATAAGCTCTGAACTATTACTGACGCACTACGATCCGTCCATGCCAATCATTGTCACTGCAGGCGCTTCGGCTTTTGGACTCTGTGCTGTCATCTCACAGCGGTTCCCGGACGCAATAGAGAAAGTTCATATGCATGCATCTCGCACACTGACTCTAGCGGAAAGAAAGCGCAGCCAGATAGAGAAAGAGGATTCCGCCCTTGTGTTCACAGTACGCCGTTTTCACAAGTTTTTGTACGGTCGAGGATTTACTCTCCTCACTGGTCACAAGCCTCTTCTCACAATTTTCGGATCAAAATCTGGCGTTCCAGACCGCTCTGCAAACCGTCCCCAGCGATGAGCTTTGATAGCGTTTGGTTATGATGTTGACAATCACTGCCGGTGCACCCAACAATTTGGTCAGGCAGACGCCCTGTCACGACTTATCAGTGAACACCATACGGCCGGCGAAGATGCAGTCATTACCTCCCTAAAGACAGAAGACCACGCACAATGTTACCTGACGACTGCTGTTCGCGCCTTGCCAACCTTGGCATCTGAGATACATTTTGCCTGTAGGAACGACTCGATCATTAAGAGAACGATGAACTGCGTCACCGCCAAATGGTCTCGGTAGTGACTTCAAGCAGCTTAACCACCTTCGGGACTCATTATGCGTCGTGGTCCGGTGCTTAATGTTTGGAGATAGAGTAGTGGTGCCAGAGTCCCTAAGATTAAGGGTGCTAAAGCAGTTCCACACTGATCATCCTGGCATAAAACGAATGAAATCCATCGCTAGAAGCTATGCTTATTGGCCCCTCATGGACCAAAGAATCATGGATTTAGTAGCAAATGCACACGATGCCAACAAGAGGCGAAATGCAATACGAAAGTGATGTCGGTCCCACCGCGCTTCCGTGTCTCTGGCTGAAATTAACAGTTTGAAGTTCAAAAGGTTTATGTG